TTTTTTTTGGCTAAAATTTTGGGAGAATTAAAGTTTTGTTCAGTATTGTAAGCTACATTGTCGGACCAACATGCTTTTATGTGTCGCTTGCAATTATTTGGACCTATTTTTTTGTGGGATTTTTTGTCGTTGATTTTTATTTCCTATATTAATTTGGAGCATTACAATATTTAAGTTTAGCCACATGTTATCATTAGGATTACTCTTAAAATCATAAAAATATGTTGGTCCATCTAAATATAAATATATTTTTTACTAAATTAACTAAAATGATTTGTAATACATAAACAATATTCTTCAGTCTTTCTTTAAGTAAAAGTTACAGAATTACCTACTATGATTAACATATATATAATAATTAATGATTGTAAAAAATAAATATTTGATAATAGTTTTTGTATCCTTCATCATTTTTTTTTAATTTATATTATTTAAAAAATAAACAATCACATTAATCATATAATAAAAAATCTATATTTTTTCTTAAATGTTATATTTTAAATTTCTTAAAACGACTATAAATTACTAAAACTGTTAAAAGTTTTACATGAAAAATTTTGTGAAGAATTTATTATTTTTTAGTTTTGCTATAAAAATATAGAAATCCCCTCTATATTAATCCTAGAGCATTACAACATGTTTTCGTAGTCACGTGTCATCACTAAGACAATTCTCAAAATCATTATAAAAATAAGTTGGTCCATATAATTATATATTATACTTTTTAAACTAACTATCAAATTATTTATTAGTGTACAAAATAATATATTTCTTTCCTTAAATAAAATATACAGAATTACCTAATATGATTAACATATATATGACAATTAATAATTATAACAAAAAATTAGATTTTTTCTTATATGTTATATTTAGAATTTTTTGAAACAACTATAAGTTACTAAAAATGGTAAGACTCCCACATAGAAATTTTTTATAAATAGTTTAGTTTTGTTTTGTTCAAGCAAGATACAAATGATTATAAATTTTATGAATATGAAGTCTCATTAATAGCTATTCATATTATATATATATATATATATCAATATAATTTAAGTTAAATTATATAATATATAAAATATATAAATATGTCAATTTTAAAATTTTCAATGAAAATTTATTGAAATTTTAATATTTTAATTTTTAAATTCGAATTTAAACAGTCTCACATTAATTTTTTGTGATTTATTTAAATTTTAACTAGAGCTAAATATACAGATTTTAATAAAATCATATGAGTAGGATGTGTGAATAATAAATATAAATTAAATATAAAAATGTATATATATATATATATATATA